TGAGCCACAGCTCAGACAGATTCAACAAGAGACTAGCAAAGATATAACTTTACAATCATTGAAGGAAGTTATACTGAATGGATGACCTGATGACAAACACCATTTGCCAGCTGAACTACATGTCTACTATGACTGCCGTTCTGAATTAGCCATGGAAGATGGTGTAGTGTTCAAAGGTCTCAGATGTGTAATACCAACTAGTTTGAGACCAATGATTAGAGAGAAACTACACAGCTCTCATAATGGAATTCAGAGTTGCCTAAGAAGAGCAAGAGAAGTCGTATATTGGCCAGGGATGAACAAAGACCTCACCGATTTCATCTCAAAGTGTGAAACATGCAATACATACTAAAATAATCAACAGAAGTAACCAATGATAAGTCATGGTATACCAGAACGTCCTTGGAAAAAGATTGCCTCAGACATTCTAACATTCAACAAAAGAGATTATCTCATACATTTGTAACTATGGATTATTACTCCAATTACTTTGAGATTGATCACTTGTATGAGGAAACTGCATCTGAAATCATCAAGAGAACCAAACGTCATTTCTCAGTACACGGTATACCAGATCAGTACTACAGTGATAATATACCATACAACTCTAAAGAATTTCGCGATTTTGCCAAAGACTATGAATTTGAACTTATTACCAGCTCCCCTGAATATCCACAAAGTAATGGTAAAGTAGAGAATGCCGTAAAAACAGCCAAATTGTTAATGAAGAAGTCAAAAGATGCAGAAACGAATACCTCGAACTACTTAATTGGAGAAACACACCAAGTGAAGGAATGGGAACATCTCCTATACAACGTTTATGTGGTAGACACACAAAATCACTGCTACCAACAGCTCGTCTACTGCTAAGACCAGAAATACCTGAGAAAGTATTCTCCAAACTACATGAAAGAAAGCAAGTACAATGTCAGTACTACAATCGTGGGCTGAAAAAACTACCTAGTTTGAAGGAAGGAGAAATAGTATGTATGAGGCCAAAAGCGCAAGATCGGTTGGTCAATGGGTGAAAGCTCGTGTAGAACAACAAGTCGATGTAAGATCGTATGACATTAGAACAGAAAATGGAAGAGTCTACAGACGCAATAGAAGACATCTCAGAAATTCAAGAGAACCATTTAAAT